TTGATCCAATGGATTGAAAATCTTTCTATAGAACTGAAAAATGTAAAAAATCCAAACCGCACCAAAAATGTTTGTCACAAGTCTACTGACTGCCAGTATTGCCATATTCCTACACCAAAACTGAATCGGCAGCTGGCAGCTAGTTTAATGAATTATTCAGCCTCTTAGCGACATCATCCTCAGCCCATATTGACATTGACCAATGTGTATGAAAACATGTTACAGAGTCACTTTTTACATTTTTTGTTAGTTTTGTATTTTTGCATTGAGACTTGATATATTTTCCTTCTTAGTTGCAGGTGGCGTACAGATTTCATTAGTAAATAAAAAAAAAAACATTTTCGCTCCAGCTGAAAGTTTATACTGATGATAAAATGAAATTTGTGCGGTCATAACTGTTCGACAAGTGGAGAATTATACTCTGCTAAACATGGAATGCTCACATCAAGCAAGTAAAGGCAGTCGGAGGAGAGAGAGATATAACTGCTCTGCTCAGGATAAGAACAGAGGACGTTTGGAGGTAAATACATGTACCAGCAGATGGCGCTAGTGTTCCAAACCAAAAACTGGAGTATTTGCAGTATCTACACTGTCCATCAACTCTATTTAAATGGATCTGGAGGTACACCCGAAACATGCATTTCTAAATAGTGGTGCTGCTGTTTACACACAAATGTATACGAAATACAGATTTTGGGAAAGCAGACACAGAAAAATACAGTTTTACATTTTACAAGGCTACTTGAAATCACCTATCTCAGCAAACACTTGGGAATCCAGAACAGATATTTGATATGCATTGTGAGTATATGCATCAAAGTTCTATCACTTTAAATGTTTCGTTTTGAGACTGTATTTTTTTTTTTTAAATTGTGTTTTTTATCACATTAATTTTGCATTTTATATATTCACAATGCGTGGAGCAGATATACATTGTTGCAGTAAGTGGAGCAGTTTGTACTATATATCTCTGCCGAGACAAAGGTTAGAAATGTAAGTTAGGACCCACTGATATTGGGGTACTCTTTAAAAGTGGTGGGCTTAAAGTGGTTGTCTGCTTGTAAGCCAACCCATGGGGGTGTAACCATGTTATAGGAACACTATAGTCACCTAAACACTTTAGCTTAATGGAGCAGTTTTAGTGTACAGATCATGCTTCTCAGGTTTTACTGCTCAATTCTCTGCCATTTAGAAGTTAAATCACTTTGTTTCTGTTTATGCAGCCCTTGCCACACCTCCCCTGGCTATGATTGACAGAGCCTGCATGAAAAAAAAACTGGTTTCACTTTCAAACAGATGTAATTTACCTTAAATAATTGTATCTCAATCTCTAAATTTAACTTTAATCACATACAGTGGGCTCTTGCAGGGTCTAACAAGCTATTAACATAGAAGGGGATAAGAAACTCTAACTTAAACAGAACTTGCAATAAAGAAAGGATAAACTTTAGATGACTCTATACAGGAAGTGTTTAGGAAGGCTGTGCAAGTCACACGCAGGGAGGTGTGACTAGGGTTCATAAACAAAGTGATTTAATTCCTAAATGGCAGATAATTTAGCAGTGCGGCTGCAGGGGCATGTTCTATACACCAAAACTGCTTCATTAAACTAAAGTTGTTCTGGTGACTATAGTGTCCCTTTAATTCATAAAAGTGTCCATTTCTATTGAACGTTTTGTAAAATGAAAAAGAGAGGACACAGCAAGGTGTCTGTGGTGTCCTGTTAACGATTATTTGTGTGTGCATACAGCCATATTGCTATAGGCAAACAGTGGACTTGCAAAATATTTTTGATGTTTTTTTTCACGCACCCTTAATGTAATTGTCTTGGATGTAGTCAGATTGCACAAAGGTTCTCCTTCAATTTTTGTCTGACTTAGCTATAGTGCCAACATATTCCACAGTGCTGTAGAGTTATAGAAAGGGGATATTTAGAGGCGAAGAAAACTCTAAATAAGGGCTTTTGGGGATAATCCATAAATTGTACACCGATAGCACTTAATGATGGGGGCACTTTTCATGCAGAGACCACTGTAGGGAGCACGTGTACACCTTCTGCAAAAACCGACAACCCCTTGTTGGAATCAAAAGCGAGAAATTCAGTCTTCAAAAAACAAAATGACGGCCTCGTTATTTGTTGCGGCTGAAGAACTAAACTGACAAACTGAAATAAATTAACGGACAATCTCAGTGTCATCACAAAACTGACAGCACGAAAACAGGTCTAAAGTGACCGTTGGTGTCAAACAGAAAACATGCCAGCCTGGCATTAACATTGCATCAGGACTTCTCTAAATAACACCCTGACACATTTAATGAAACAGGCCAGATAAACACATCCAGTGTCAATTTGATTTTAAACAGTTTAGCTCTCATCTTTCCTATAAAAAAGAAAATATTTAAAAATGTTGTCTTGGTAACATCTTTGTAGCACACAATGACTGAAAGACCAGTGCCAAATGGAAAAGAAACTATGGGTGATACTGTGGTTATACCTTCAGAATCTTGGAATAATAACAGGAAGATTGCTGGAGACAATCACAAAGTAAAATTTATTCAAATATTCTTTTTTTCTCTCTATTTGCCGCGCAGCAGCTAAAATCCTTTTCTAAACACTGCGTTCTCCTGCTTACCATTAAGAGGGATTATGGGTTTAAAAGACGCAGTGTAGCAGATCCTGGTTAATTTTATTTAAAGTATTTTTTTATAGAGTGCTGCCCTTCTCAGATGAAAAATTATATCCTAGATAAAGCGTTTCAGGCATGAAGCTAAAGAATGCGGGAACCAAAAATGAAATACCCAACGATTTGGAAATTTGATTTCACTTTAAAGATATGTAATCATTTACTTTTACACAGCTCAGTCCAGAAAAATATCTTCTGCCACAAATAGAACTTTCGCGCACAGAAAAAATGCCTGGACCAAGGAGCTTGCAATCAATCATTATAACCAGCTTATTCCAGGCAAGGATTTTGCAAAAGAAAATATTCTACAGCAAAATACTTTAATGTCTATTTGTTACGAAGAGATCCAATTTAATTGTCAATTTTATAATTTATATATTTTACCCAAATAATGTAATTTCTTTCAGGCTTATTTACTAATGAGAACATTGTCAGGCATTCAAAGTGAATTTCAAATTCAGGCCAAAATAGCTCAACTTGAAAAGTTCTCCCCGTCATTTCTACTGCTAGATTAGCTATATTGGCCTTAAAGTGACTTTTTAGCCTTCAGGTGACCCTCTTGGGGTGCTGAGGCCTGGACGTACAGGGCACCGACATTCTCTGTCTCCAGTTATCTTCCAGGAGCTGCGTCAGTGCTGCACTCTCACACATGCGCAAAATACGACACCGAGGTCTCTAGGGAAATCCTAAAAAGACCATAGAAGCAACCTGATTCCAAGAGCCGTCACTATCGGCAGCTGGAAGAACTGACAAAACTTGAGGGCGGAGCTTTATGTTCTGTCACGTTTTGTCAACCTGCTTCATTTTCATGTAAATTTATATAATATGAGAAAATTACAGCACAATCCAGTTCAGACAACGCACAGCCAGGGCACACATTATATCAGAATTTCGGTTACAAAAAAAATGATTCAGTAAACGAATCAGAAAAACTAAAACGGCACAAAATTGGGCCAATCAGTTAACTGCAAAATGTGTCTATAATATATGCATGTATTTTGCAGGACATTGATAGGACCATTTTGATACCTTTTGGTTACACAGAAACATAGAATGTGACGGCAGATAAGAACCATTCGGCCCATCTAGTCTGCCCAATTTTCTAAATACTTTCATTAGTCCCTGGCCTTATCTTATAGTTAGGATAGCCTTATGCCTATCCCACGCATGCTTAAACTCCTTTACTGTGTTAACCTCTACCACTTCAGCTGGAAGGCTATTCCATGCATCCACTACCCTCTCAGTAAAGTAATACTTCCTGATATTATTTTTAAGGTTCACAGAACAAGTGAGAAAAAGTAACTAATAAAGCGAATAAGAGGAGAGCAGTAAACCAAATAATCAACATTCATATATTAAATTTATTGATATCATATATATTATACAGAGAATATTTTTTTCCTGCTCAATCGGCCATTTCTCACATTATCTGTGAATAAAATGACCATTAGCTGACAGTCTGCTAGCCGTCATTCATCTTTTTTTCCCATCAATCACCTCTTTTTTTGGCGCAGTGAGTTGAGAATCTTGAATTAAGTCGACTATGCCTGTCTGTTGCTGGCTTTGCTTGGTTCTCGATTTTGGCTCAGAGTTCAGGAATTCATAAGATCATCTGATCGACCCAAATTCAGCCGAACTGCGGTTTGTGATGACACTAATCTCCAAGTTTAGCATTAACTGAAAAGTAGGTGTCAGACAGCTAACACGTGATTCTGGGACAGGTTTGTGAATACTGTCCTGGTATTTATTTAATGAGAGGAAAGTTGAAAGAAGGATGTGTGACAAGTCCAAAAATATGGTATTTTATTTGTCAAGCATATTGGCAGCAATTATTCAAATCCTGCTCTTCAGCCAGTAGTAAATGGCCAGCATACCTGACAATCCATACAAAACAAACACTGTGTTATTTAAAACTGTTTGGAAGTTTACAGTTAAAAAAGCAAATAAATTAGTTTTCAGCAACTTTGGGCATGTTGACTATGATCAGAAAGTTTTCTGGGATCTACTCTGCAAATCCTACGATCTGATTGGCTGATGGAAATCGACAGATATGTAATAAAGCTGATGGGTTGTTTTGCTTAAATAAGGGGCAAACACAGGCTGTTCTGGGGCACAGTATTAAGGACTCGATTTACTGTTTTTAGATAAGCTTTACAAATTATTTAATATTTTTGGATAAACGTTTAAAATTATTTGATACTTTGATCTTTTTTTTTACATATATTGATACATAGTATTTTATGTAAAATATATTTTTGATACTTTCATATTTTGAAAAGCAATTTAAAAAGTTTATTCACAAATCACAAATATGACATCAATGTCTAAATTAATAGCAATTCCCATGACCTGTGCAATTACCATCCCCCGATGATCCTGCATGTAGTGAGATATCTACAGCAAATTCCACCCCTATTCACTAATGCTGACATAATGACTAGGCCATTATAGGCACACACGCTAAAACCAACTATTAGAGGCTTAAAACTCACAAACGACTCACTCCGAGCTCTGCGGAGCAGGATACACTCAGTGACTGTAATTAGTGAAAGTCAGACAGCTGGTAGCTATATCTCCGTGTGCGCTGACTGGCTCTCCTGCCGTGTACCTGCTGCTGACAGGGTGATAATCTCATAGATGCCATCGCTAATGCCATCTTTGATCTCAGCAGGGAGCGAGCAGACATCGTTAAAGTATTCTATGATGCCATGATTGGCTATTAATGGTGAATTCAGCACTTTATTTAGGGAGGTAGAACTAAGTTACTGATAATATAGTGACTGACTTTATAGCCCAGTAAACATTCTAGAGCAATTGATTTGCAGGGGGTCTATGGTATATAAAACAGCTATACAGACAGATCCCTCTCTCTGGCCCTTTATGTCCTATGTGCGTCATATTTGGTTAATTATATTGAAGTGGTTTAAGTGGTTTAAAAGGAGGAGGTCCATTGCGCTGGCTCACCTTCAGGGATTGAACCATTAATGAACATTTTAACAGTTACATAGCTGCCTAGGTTTAAACAAGACTAAACTCCATCAAGTTCAAGCCTGAAGCCAATGTTGTTGATCCACAAGAAGGCAAACCCCCACCTCAATTGTAGTCATTTCCAATTGTGCCACAAAAAAAGAAAAAAAAATGATTGATTCCATAATGGCAATCAGAGTTCTCCTTAGATCGACAGCCTGTTTGCATACATGTCAATTATATCCTTAAATATTATGTTTATGCAAAAAATCTCCCAAGCGGTTTAAAATGTATCTATAGAATCTGATAAAACAACCTCTTTAAGCAGAGAATTCCACATCTTTATTGTTCTTACTGTGAAGAACCCTTTCCTCTGCTGTAAGTGAAATCCCCTTTCTTCCAGTCTCAATGGACGACCTCTTGTCTGGTGTATATTCCTAGTAATAAACAGGTTAGCACATAGCGGTTTGTACTGACCCTGTATATATTTATATAGTGCTAACATTTCCCCTCTCAGGCACTTTTTTTCTAAAGAAAACAATTCCATTTTCCTTTTTCTTATATCCCCCTTACTCATTTTGAAGCTCTCCTCTGCACTTTTTCTAGCTCGGCAATGTCCTTCTTTAAAACTGGTGCCCAAAATTGCACGGCATATCCAAGGTGGGGTCTAACCATTGGTTTGTAAAGAGGCAAAATTATATTTGAATCAAAACCCCTTTTTATACATGAAAGCACCTGACTAGCTGTTGCAATGTCAGACCAGCATCTCATATGGCTGCCTAGTGTGTGATCTGTAATTGTACCCAAGACCTTTTCATTTAATGTTATATCTAACTCTACCCCATTTAATGTATGAGTGGCTTGTGGGTTCCTTGTTCCAAAATGCATGACTTTACATTTATCTGTACTGAATCTCGATCTGCCACGTGCCTGCCAATCCCCAATTTATCCAAACCCCTCTGTAGTGAGGTTATATCATGTTCAGACTGTATTTTTGTATCTAGGTTTGTGTAATCTGCAAACATTGACACATGCCTTTCAGTGTCCACTTCAAGACCATTTATAAACAGATTAAAGAGAAGTGGATCCAGGATAGAACCCTGAGGCATCCTATTCACATTTTTATCCAATTTAAAAATGTTCAATTTACATCTACATTATGCTCTCTATCTTTAAGCCAGTATTCTATCCAACAGCACAAATTTTCATCTAAACCAACTGTTTCAAGTTTAATAGTAACCTTCTATGTTGAACTTTATTAGAACCTTAGCAAAATCCAAGTTGTTCACATCTACTGGATCACCCTGATCCATATTTCTTCTAGCTTCTTCATAGACACAAATTAAGTTAGTTTGACATGGACATGTACTTCATAAAACCATGTTGATTCCAGCTAATGATATTTTGTTCAAAGTGAATTCTTGAATATTATCCCTTAATGGCCCTTAAATAATTTTCCAACCACAGATATAAACCTCACGGTCTGTAGTTTTCGGGTGGAACTTTTGAATCCTTGTTATGATTATCTCCACATCTGCTTTTCTCCAATCCTCTGGTACATTTCCTGAAAAATATAAAACAGTAGTAGAATATTATTACACTAAACTCCCTAAGCACATGTGGGTGAATACCATCTGGTTGTGGGGCTTTGCTTACATTCACTTTATTTAATATCTGAAGCCCTTTATCCTGTGTTAACCAATCACGTGTTTGCTGTAAGGCTTTTGTAACAGGGATTTGCAAATTAACAGCCATAGATTATTCTTCCCTATTTACAGAAAAAAATACTATTTTTTAGAATTTCTGCATTGTCCTGTTACTCCTTGATACCTCATTTATCTTACCTTCCAATGGACCAATGCTTTCACTCTTAACATTTTTGGATTTAACATACTAAAAACATTTTGGTGGTTAGTCTTGCTCTCTTTAGCTATGAACGTTTCATTTTCAGGTTTGGCCCCTCTTCTCACCATTTTGCAAGCCATATTAGCATGCTTATATTTGTTATATGATGCTAATAATCCCTCTGATATAAATGTTTTGAATGCCCTTTTTGTATTTTTTATCATTGGTTTTAATTGGCTTCTTTTATATTTGTTTCCCAATGGTTTATATTTCGTTTAACCCCTTCAGGACGGAGTCAATAGTACACGTTCTGATCAAAACAAAATGTAAACAAAAACTGGAATTTGCGCTATATGTCTGTTCAACCGTAATTCACCTCTTTCATATTATATGCACCCACACTTATTATATATAATTTTGTTCAGGAGAAACAGGGCTTTCATTTCATATCAAATATTTATATATGAATAAAATAAAAATAAAAGTGAGAAATTTAAATTTAAAAAAAAAAAATTGTAGTTTCACCTCACATTTTAGCTGTAAATGTCATAATACTGTTAGCTTTTACTGCAAAAAAACACACATTTGGATTCAGCAAAGTCTCACAAGTACAACAGGAGTCCCTATGTACAGGTTTTACGGTGTTTTGGCAAGTTAAAGGGTCAAATATAGCACATTCCATTTTTCCGTTTTTTCACATTGAAATTTGCCAGGTTAGTAATGTTACCTTTGAGACCGTGTGGTAGCCCAGGAATGAGATTTACCCCCATGATGGCATACCATTTGAAAAAGTAGACTACCCAAGGTATTGCAACTGGGGTATGTCCAGTCTTTTGTAGTAGCCACTTAGTCACAAACACTGTGTATATATGCTAAAGGGGGCCTCATTTGCCGGGGGAGGGCTGTCTGGGCTGTCAGACAGTCCTTCCAAAGAGGATCGTGGTGGAGGTAAGTAAATCTGACCTCCTGGGGCTGCAACAGCTTTAAAGCCCATTTAGTGCGGGACGGCATAGAACGCCGTAACAGCGTTAAGGGGTTAAAGACCTTCAATTTATCCTCAGTGCTTTTGCCATTGGATATTTCCTGCCAGTCAATTATTGTAAAGATGCCCTGATCCTATTGAATTTAGTCTTTTGAAAATGAAGTTGTGACAAAATGCCTTTTGTCACTGGATTTTTATATGACCAACTGCCCCCTGGCTGTTGGAGGAGCCTGATTGCCAGCCTCCTCCCTTATGACTATGGGCCTGGGGTGTATTGTCATTTAAAAAGACTATTTGGGGCTTATTGGCTTCTAAAAGACTGTTTCTGCCCATTTGAATCCATGGGAAGATGTTTCTCTGCCCATCCCCCGTTTCCTGTCTATTGTTCCAGCAGGGCGTTGTCCCAGGAACACTGCCAGACCAGTTGGAACTGGCTGTTTTGCCCCTCCTCGGTCTGTCATCAGTTCTTGCTGTGTTTTAACCCCATGGCGATTTGACTGTGGTTGTGGCATCTGAGCGCTGTTCGGATATAGTGAGCGCTCAGATCCAAGCTATCTGGGGACAGGTTGAATGTGGGGATTCTGTTAAAGGACCACTATAGTGCCAGGAAAACATACTCGTTTTCCTGGCACTATAGTGCCCTGAGGCTGCCCCCAACCTCAGGGACCCCCTCCCGCCGGCTCTGGAGGGGTGAAAGGGGTAAAAACTTACCTTTTTCCAGCGCTGGACGGGGAGCTCTCCTCCTCCGATCCTCCTCCATTACTCCCCGTCAGCTGATTGCGCACGCGCGGCAAGAGCTGCGCGCGCATTCAGCCGGTCGCATAGGAAAGCATTATTAATGCTTTCCTATGGATGCTTGCGTGCTCTCACTGTGAAAATCACAGTGAGAAGCACGCAAGCACCTCTAGCGGCTGTCAATGAGACAGCCGCTAGAGGCTTTGGGGGAAGGCTCAACCCATTCATAAACATAGCAGTTTCTCTGAAACTGCTATGTTTATAAAATAATGGGTTAACCCTAGCTGGACCTGGCACCCAGACCACTTCATTAAGCTGAAGTGGTCTGGGTGCCTAGAGTGGTCCTTTAAGTATAATAGGAATTATGTATTTTATGTGTGTTTACTGTTGTTGTGAATAGAGCCATTTTCTGTATGCTGGAGGTAATTGGCGTACCACACCCAAGCCATGCTTGCAAATGGTCACAAAGGGACTTTCAACTAACTTTTGACCCACTGGACCAATTTGTATGATTTTGACTTATGTTTGTATTTGGAGTATGCTGATTCTGAAAATATAAGTTATGTGAATGTGATGTATACTTTTAGAGTTATGAATATTGTGTAAAACTGTGTATTTTCCTGCCTGTGATAATTAAGTTAGACCATTGTGTTCAGTAATTATATCACAGGCAGAGGGGAGGATTTTGTGTGGGAGTGTCTGAGTGTATTGTACGTATTGATTGGTTGTTCTGCAAAACCCTGTGGGCAGTACTATGTTTGTAAAATGGGCATAAAAGCAGAGTGTTTGATTAAAAGCTTCAGTTCTACTCAGTGGCGTACACATGACCCATGGGGCCCCGGTGCGAAAATTGATCCGTGGGCCCACCCACCCCCCCGCGCGCGGGCTGGGCCGCAACACATGGCGGTGGGCACCTGGTCGCAGGGGTTACAGGGCTGCGACCCCTGCGACCGCGGTATGTACCGCTATGTTTATGAATGGGTTAAGCCTTCCCCTATTTCCTCTAGCGGCTGTCTCATTGACAGCCGCTAGAGGCGCTTGCGTGCTTCTCACTGTGATTTTCACAGTGAGAGCACGCCAGCGTCCATAGGAAAGCATTATGAATGCTTTCCTATGTGACCGGCTGAATTCTTGCCGCACGGGGAGGAGAAGAGGAGGATCAGAGGAGGAGAGCTCTCCGCCCAGTGCTGGAAAAAGGTAAGTTTTACCCCTTTTCCCCTTTCCAGAGCCGGGCGGGAGGAAAGGACCACTACAAAGGACCACTACAGACACCCAGATCACATCAGTTCAATGAAGTTGTCTGGGTGTCAGGTCCCACTAGTTTTAACCCTGCAGCTGAAAATATAGCAGTTTCGTAGAAACTGCTATGTTTCACTGAGGGTTAATCCAGCCCCTAGTGGCTGTCTCACTGACAGCCGCTAGAGGAGCACACTGAACGTCCATAGGAAAGCATTTAGTAATGCTTTCTTATGGGCGGTTTGAATGCGTGCGCGGTCGCATTTGGAGCTGAGGGATCCCCAGCGCCAAGGGAGTCTGGCGCTGGAGAAAGGTAAGTGCTGAAGACACACACACTCTCACTTACAGACGCATACACACTAGCTAACAGACACACACATTTACTGACAGAGGCACAGTCAGCGACAGACATACATACACACTCACTTACAAAACATACACTCTCATTGACAAACACACACTCACTAACAGACATCAAACAGACTCACTAACACACACACACTCAGTAAGACACACACAGTAACACACTCACTGACACTCACTAGCAGACACACACACTAACACTCACACTAACACTCACTAGCAGACACACACACTAACACTCACTCTAACACTCACTAACACTCACTAGCAGACACACACACTAACACTCACTCTAACACTCACACTCACTAGCAGACACACACACTAACACTCACTCTAACACTCACACTCACTAGCAGACACACACACTAACACTCACTCTAACACTCACACATGTTTTTTTTTTTTAAATGTAATCCCCCCAGCCTCCTTACCTTTTGGAGTGCTGGGGGGATTCCCTGGGGTCCAGTGGTGCTGCTGGGCAGGCGGGTTGCCGGTCGGGCAGGCAGGCGGGCGCGCGAGGGAGCACTTAGTGCTTCCTCTTCAGCTCCCTCGCGGGCCGCGTATCAGTGCGGTGCGCAAGGGAGCTGAAGAGGAAGCACTGAG